CCTTCCCGTCATGCGAAGAAAATTACATTGAACTCCAATTGCAAGTCCTAAACACAATCAGCGTATATTACGCCAAAGCCATCGCCTCTATACACTCCTGCCAAAATGAACACACAACCAGGTAGGCTTTCAGTTACTGCTCTTTCCAAACATACCGCTAGGCGTCGTCCTTACACTGTGGCCCGGTGACAGGTCCCACAATGCACTTCACTCAACTTTGGCCTGCCCCATTGCATGACGGGAAACAAAATGGCGGCGCCCATAAAATCGAGGTAACGTAAAACAGGTTCCCGCTATCGCGAACCTGTAATTCATCTATCCTGCCCCCCTCCCACTTCCTGTTGTCATCAGTCTTCACCATAAAAAAAAAACACACTCACCCGAAAGTGCCCTGCCCGATCTTGGCCAGTTTCTCATATTTAGACACATCGTCACAGTAAGGATACTCTATGGCCTCTAACTTGTCCCTGACTGCATTTATAGTGGACGCCTGGCTGCTCATTTCGTGAGAAAATATTCTTTTGCCGAAAATGGCGGCGAAGAGTGGCGATGATGGAATATTCCACTTTTCAGGGAGTACGTAATGTGGGATTTGTTTTATTACACAAAAATTTTGTCATTTTTGAAAAAAAAAGTGACCACACATATATGAATAGATAAGAAAGTAGTAATATTGTTTTAGAATAATTGGTTAAAAAGGTATATCTAGTCACATAATTTGAACCATTTTGATAGATTGTGATAATGATTCCCCTATAAGTTATGGATACGTCTAATGACTAAGATGGTGACGTCAGACAAGTACACAGCATCCGGTGACGTTTTGCACAACTGAGTGATTTTTGTTCTGCGTTACGATTACGTTTGGAAGTGAAACGCCATGCCGAAGGTTATCTCTCGCAGTATCGTGTGCTCAGACACGCGGGATAAGGAGGAATATGAAGGAGAGAAGCCGCTGAACGTGTACTACTGCCTGTGCGGGCAGATGGTGCTGATTTTAGGTGAGATGGACCTAGCACGTGGGGAGGGGGGCTCACAAAAGTTTTTGTCGTGCAGCATGTTACCTTCGCAAGAAGGTTATGTTTTTGTTGCTGCTTGTGGCCTCCTAGCAGCTTTTATGGTACCGCAGCAGAAATTCCACTTTTGATATCCCACTCATGTGCTCAACATGATACTAAAAACTAGCAACAGGGCTGGAGGGAATCCAACTCGAATCCTTCTTCACAAAGCGAACAGAAGGAACAACAAGAGGGCACAGTTGCAAACTGGAGGTCCCTTTGGCCAAAGGAAGAGTTAGACGACAGACATTCAGCGTCCGGGTCGTTAGGATTTGGAACAGTCTACCACAGGCCGTAATTAACTCATAATCAGTAAATGAGTTCAAGACGAACTTAGACAAATACTGGGAGAGCATAAAGTATAACACTGAGTGAAGTCGAGATCGGGATCACTACAGGATTACCTCTCATCCTGAAGACGGTATCAAGGTATCAAGGAATGATACGGGCAAGATGTAGCTTTGGCTACCCTAGCAGCTTTTTGGGGGAACTGCAGGGTCTTTTTCCTTGGGGGTCGGAAGTTTAAAACGCATTACTCAAGTAGTTGAGCATATACAAATATTTCATCTTGTTTTGTGTCTTTATCTGTACAGATTGTCCACTGGAGAAGTTGCCGCTGAGAAAAAGAGACAACGCCCGTGTCATTGACGGGTCCAAACATGCACACAAGGTCACAGCAGAGCCTGGGGAGACTGTCTACTTGAAATGGTAGTTAATAATACGTAATAAGTACTACATCAATTTACAGGCATAAACAAGGTGGTTGTTTGTTTTAGTTTTAGTATTGATTCAGATTCAATCTAATTCTTGTTACTTTGACATTTTTTACAGTAGATAACATAATGACGTGTGCAGTTTCCTTGATACCTATGTACTAGTAATCCATTCTTGTACATTGTATTTCTCCAGGCCAGATGGAATTGAGCGACAGTACAGACAGAAGTGTAAGAAGTAAGTTGATACATATGTTTGCTATACAATGTTTGGAGAGTGGTCTTTAGCTATCAGCAAAGGTATCAGTAGCAGTTGCTTACTGTTAAGAAGCAATCTGCATTAAAACTAACAGCATCATTTGAATTCTAGTATTAAGAAAGTTATTTTTTAAGCTTTTGGAATTGAAGTTGTAGTGTTCAAGGTTATGTTATATTTAGTTTCTATAACAGATTTTTTTCTGCCATGTTTCCCCAGGTGTGGCCTGAGGTTGTATTACAGACATGAGGAGAAGGGTGGAACTGTGACGTTTGTGGTGAGCGGGGCTGTGGTGAAGGAGGGGAAAGGTGTGAGGAAGGCAGACATCTACCAACAAGTGGCCGCTGAAGCCAAACCCAAGAAGGTTAGGGGCAGTCTGACTGTTATATACTTTTATACAAAAATGCAATAAAAATACAGTGAAACACAACTGTTAACACTGGTACTGTTTGTGTATGACTACTAAATGATATTTTGGTGCTTTCTACAGGTGATGATGACAAAACGCACGAAAGACATGGGCAAATTCAGCTCAGTCACAGTGTCCACAGTGGATGAAGAAGAGGAAGAGATCGAAGCTGTAAGTAAATCTGCATTATACAGTAGGACAACTAGGAGAAGTAGATATGGTAAAAGTATACCATGGTGTTGGGGGGTGGACTATAGTATTTCTTCTTCATATTACGTGCTTAACCTCAATAGGCTGAGGACTATTTGCCTGGCAAAGTGATTGAAACATGTTTAGACCCTACCTTTGGAGACTACAGTTTGAAATGGAGATAGGAACCCACTTGTGTTGAACTTGTATCATCAGAACTACACTACACTTTGCTATGTAACGGTCTGATCTAGATGGTTGATAGTAACAAAGCATGATGGCTGATGGTTCAATGAATTGATCCAAATGTTTTGTTTTTTTTGTATCTGTATTTATCAACCAGTGTTATCAACCACTATTTTTCAGAGGGAAGTTGCAGACTCCTATGCCTCCAATGCTCGTGTGATTGAAAAACAGTTGGAGAGAAAGGGTATGGTGAAGAGGAAACTGCAGGAGATGGTAAGTACAGATATAATGCACAGTGGAACATAATATGTCCCATATTTTCTACTGATTTTGGTTAGAAGTATAGATTTTTTTAGTAGTAAATTGTTGTATGATGATGCATTTGGTCATTTTGCTTGTAGAATGTTAAGTTCTTTTTAGTTCTTACTAAACATTGACATTGTCTTTCTTATTTTCCAGGCAACTGAACATGAGAGGAAGAAGGCAAAGGGAACACTGATTGACAAATAGTCCATTTCACAAAATACATGTACAAACATTGCACTTTTACTTACATAAACATGAATCTGTCGTAGTAAGATTTATGGAAATTTGCTCTTCCTTTCCTGATGTAAACTAGATGTACATATACATGTCAATACTTTCTACCACATCAATTAAAACTTTCTACTTTGCAGTTGTAGTTATTTTATGACCTTGGCTTAATGAAAGTCTCTCAGTCATTTCTACCCCTACTAAGTACTTGTATATAGATAACACCAGTGTTTTTTGGTGATGTGTATAGTACATGTTGAACCGCAATTGCGTCAAAACTATTCCACACACATATTCCAAGCTATTGTTTTGTATTCTTTCCCTGGGTTGGTTGGGAAACACTGACTGTACATACAATATGTTCATGCTGAACCAATGAATAGATCAAATAAAGCATACCAAAGGTATTTTATAAACTTTTATAAGGATACTATATTTTGCCAGCATAAGAGTGTAGGTAGGGAGAGAGGGTGGCAAATATCCAAGGGCACAAGGTACACCTCTTCAACAGAGTGAACATTTTCTATTCTAGTTCTGTGCTATCAACCTTCTAGGTCGAAATAAGCTATGCATATGTGTGAAAATAAAGTTAAGGTTTCCAGAAACCAAGGCAGATTTTCAAGAGGGATAGTAAACTCTTAATCATGTGCAGACGACAATGTTAACGAAATAACATGAGGTGACTATTTCCAGGTGATTAGATGATTATTGGTGTACTTCCAATGAATCAAGGCAGTATACATGTAATTACAAAGTACTTACTCTTTACAATGAAAAACCGTCGCCATGGCAATTAGTTTTTTAATCGCCAGCCTTGTTTATGCTTAATTGGACAACTGTGCTCCGGTATGTTCCAGCAAGCAGGTTGCCGCGGGTTATCATTACTGTTTTTAAACTTTTTTATAACTTTTGTAGCCGCTAGTCGGTGACCTGTCAGCAGCCCTCTGAATGGTCCCCGCTAGAAATCTACTGGATGTCGTATAGTGTACACGGGGGGCTCTCCCCCATGCTGCTCTAATGACACCTCGTCCAACAACTTTTGACGCGGGCACTAACCCTAACCCTGCTGACACCTCGTCCAACAACTTTTGACTCGGGCACTGGCAGGTATTGTATATAGTTGTGTAAGTCTTTTTGGCAACTTAATGTACCTCTCTGGATCTGACTTAACCAGAGGTAAGATTGTATAATATGATTTTGTCGGTTTTAATACAAAATACGTATGTGCCCTTCTTGCTGCACGTTTTTTATAGAACAACTTCACGTTAGCCTCTACCAGGCTTGGGGAGGCGGCTGGAAAGAGAGTTGAAATCGGCCAAATAGAGAAATAAGTATGCCTGGATTTTGTCCGTTGAGAGAACAGTTCGCCGCACCCCGCTATAACACTCAGCCCGCCTGAGGTCGACATAGTTTTCAAGCTTGCGAACAGCTTTTGATAGTTGGGACGAGGACGATGCGTTTTTCTAGGTCAAAGATAGTCAGTTATGTAACTTGGAGCTTCACAGTTGAAAACAACGTCTGCATGAGAAGGCCAACTCTCTGCTGCACGTCAGATCGTAGAAAACTACTCACGTATGTTTCGATCACTACTCTCTTTCTCCGAATGAAATATTTCCTTAATGTAACCCTTTCTTGTTCATTGAATTATTGTCGCCATTTTGCTGTTTCTTGTGAGCATTAATCCTTCACAAAAGACGTATAGGAAGTAGCCGAGCTTGTAAGCATATTTGTGTCACTGACTGTATGGGGTACTTGTATGTAAAAACGAACACTGTTTGGTAGTCATGACACACTGCAATACCAAGGTCGTTGGCTAAGATGCACACACCAATTCTTCCGCGACAGGGGGGTAGTGCCCGGAAAAAAGTGACGAAGGGGTTTGGATCATGTCATAATCTGCTACAGAATGGTATTCACTACTAACATGAGTGGAGAGTGTAAGAAGTGGCGTGTTTTGGGTGAAAATTGATTTCGGGCCCGAGGCTTACTTCCTGCATGTGTTCTTCCGCCCTGAGCGCGGTGCTTCGGTTTGACCTAGATATGCGTTGTATGCGTTCTGGGGGTGCTGTCGCTATGCCTCGCGCGACGGGCTATTGTGATTATCTCAGTGTTAGGATTTTCTTTATACCTTTCTTAATAATACATAAGGGTTTTCTCTTTCCGACCATATAAGTCATATTGGTGGCTAAATTCTGAGTGATGGGTCTAATTCCACGTGAAAATGGCCAATTTTTGGCATCATTTTTCATCGAAAAATTCTTTTTCCCCCTAAAATGTGAGCGGTGAAAGAAATTGAAATTCTATTGTTCTCGTAGCTAGAGGGATGTCCTTCATTTGCAAACAGAGTGTTTTGGCTTAAGAGATATTTCCTGAAAGAGGCGGTCGCCAGAGTTGAGGGTATGCAGAATCAAATTGAGACCCAAAATAAACTGGGGTGTGCCCCCATAAATGTGTACCAATCTGTACATGTCCCTGGCTTGGGGTGTCTAACATTTGAGGTCGTCTCAAGGCAGTGTGGAGAAGAAAACCTTGGTGTTTCTGACAAAAATTTGCTCTTGTTGTGTGTGGGAAGAACGGGGCAACCTGACATAATTATGACCCCCCCTCCCCATTCTTACCAATGAAACGGGACAGAGTTATCAAGAGGGCTGGTAAAACATGACTAATTTCCAAAAAGGTCCGGCGGGGACAAGACACTATGAAGTCGGCCAAGCCGTATCCAATTAACCCCCGTAGGATACGGCTTTGTCAATTTGTTTTGCTCCCACCGGATCTGCTTGGAGATTAAGATATGACGTCATTACAAAGGCAATGCCCTCGCTCTGAACTGACCGAACCGAACCGGTATCTCAGCTCGCGCTGTTGTTGTCATTTATGAGGTGAAAAAAAGCCACATGGCAGACAACAGGCTGAATTGACAGACTCGTGTACAAATTGGCAGGCAATATTGGTTCGCTTAAAATAATACAGATAAAAGCAATATTTAGTATGAGGAACATTACTGGGTGTCTCCCCCAAAAGCACCAAAGTACCAAAAGACCAAAAGTCACTCCGCGTGTGCAGTTATGTGATAGTTACCATGTGATACAATAAACTGTTGCATAGACACACACATATATATATATATATATATATATAT